GTATATTGCAATAATATTGAATTTATGTTTTGATATTTGGTTAAAAATGAGACGTATGGAAGAAATTTCATTGGGTTTCCTGACCCCCTGGACCCCAATCAGATTCGGTCTCGGGAATAATGTATTTTAATTTGAATTACGTTAAGGTACTAACATATTATATAAATATTCATATTTTATATTTGTGTATGAACTAAGAACTTTATATTCTTCTCAGTGGCGGTCAAATGATTTTGTCATATGGCTGATTGTTTAATATAATATTATGCATTATTTTATCATTAAAAATATAATTTATATCTAACATCAATTTATAAAATTATGGTAAATACAAACTTAATTTAAAACTTAGGTATACAGACTGAATAACGGACATCCCCCCCTGAACATTTCCCCCCGAATAATTTCGGTGTAATAGCACATTCCCCCCCCCCGATATATTTTTGATGCGGACATTTCCTCCCATTAATAATAATATAATATTATGCATTATTTTATCATTAAAAATATAATTTATATCTAACATCAATTTATAAAATTATGGTAAATACAAACTTAATTTAAAACTTAGGTATACAGACTGAATAACGGACATCCCCCCCTGAACATTTCCCCCCGAATAATTTCGGTGTAATAGCACATCCCCCCCCGATATATTTTTGATGCGGACATTTCCTCCCATTTTTTTTAATGTTTACTATTTGATAATAATATTTTATTATTTAATATGAAATTATTATTTTGCCTATTGTCTAATATTTTCAAATTTTTTTGATAAATATAATAAATCATAAATGTATATTTTTGATCAACTGAACTACTTGAATCAAATTCAAAAGCAATTATTAAATTGTTAAATATCCAAACTAGCAGTCTTAACAAAAAATAAAAATAATTATGAAGAAAGGCTAAAAAATATGTGTTTAGAAATAACAAAAGAATTGGTGATCAAATGTTTTTTACAAAATGTATCATTATTATGCCTGAATTTTTAGTTATTTTTTTTTTATTTTTATTTTTGAAGTCGTTCAGGGACTCGAACAAATAGATTTATAACCTATTATATTTATGAAAAAAAAAATGTTGGTAATATATTTTATATTTAAAAAAAAAATAATTTCATATTAAATAATAAATAATATTTTATTATTAAATTCAATATTATTAGTCAATAATAAGCAGCTTTAAAAAAAAAATTGGGTTAAAATTTCCACATCAAAAATATATCGGGGGAGAAATATCCTACTAAACCGAAAACAATCAGGGGGGAAATCTCAGGTGGGAAAATGATCATTTACTATACAGACTTTATAAATATTAAAATATATTATACCTATTATTAACAATATTTTTATTATATTAGTAAACCTATTTTAGATTCTGATTGAGGAGCGAGGAAGCTAGTGGTTTTACAATGGTGTTTTTTTTTTTTTTTATATCCTGTATACAAAATTTCTACCAGAAGGAGTGTTTTGATTTCAACATATAGTAAATTATCTTTTAGTAAATTGGATCAAGATGGTACTTTAGAAAGACCATTTTTCGATTTTCTCAATAGTTATTTAATGCACCGGAAAAAGCTACTGACAAATTACGAAAAACCGATTAAAATGGGATTTTAATTTCTAACGATTTGTATATCACCGTAGCAACGAACAAAAATTATAATATTATAATATTAATTCAACTTAAAGGCTAAATGAGCAATAAAAATTAAAAAAATCCAGACTGATAAACCGACTCCGCTCAGAATCATTTTTCTTATACAATGATATTATATCATTGAATTCAAGTTTAATACAATCCATTAACATTGACCCACTTGTAACCTACTGTACAACAGAGCGACATCCACTTACCCGCTTTTTAAATTTAAATTTTGTCAAAATACGACGTTTAAATGCTTATAAAAAAAATTGTGACTTCGAATTATTAATATTTTTTTGTTTTTTTTTTTGCTAATTCGTCCAGTACTTCGTTGGATATTATATTTATAACCCCACAATGAACAGCTATAATAAAAATATTACCGCTAAGTCTACAACTTGATTTTCTGTAACGATATTAGTGATCTTACTTATTGTTTCATCCGCCGAGTGTCTAGAAGTAGAGCAACTTGCATAAAAATAGCTAGTAATATTCCTGTCACAGACATAGTAATTATTGTGAAAATGTAAAATAGACAAAATAGTCAATATTACAAAAGACACCGACCGTATAATAGTAGTACACTAGTACACTATAGTACTATACGGACCCACAGTAGAAAACACGAGTACGAAAGAGTAAAGACGAATCACGGTGATAACTAAATATTATGAGTTATGACAAATAATAAGCAATCGATGTTTCAAGTTTTCAACCAACTAATGACCTGGGGTTGGAGGTACCTAATATTGTAAAATACACCTACCGATCGCACTATCGCACGTATGGGCCAATGTCCTAGAAAAGTGTAGAGATGGTTGTTACTTGTTATTGAGAATTCTCGATGATCGAGTGGGATAATTCCCATATTATATTTTGTGTGTACACATCATTGTAAAATCAATACATTCATTATTCCAGTCAGAATCTAAAAAAGTATTTAAAATACCATTCAAATACTTCAAAATAAAAAGTATTTAAAAAATGTATTCAATACGGAAAAAAGTATTTGAATACTTTACTCAATACTTACTCAAATACTTAAATACGAGTACTGGTATTCGTATATACATGACACGTAGCTGACAGATTAGCTTATAGCTTATAGTTTATAGTTTTAATTACTAGTAAATAGAAGGTATGTGTTATATTAATATGATGTCATAATTGAAAACAAAACTATTGTATAAAAACTTTATTTAAAAAATAAAACCACTTATTTTTACAATTGAGTTTATATAGTCATTTGTATGTTTAATATATTTTTTAAATAATTATTTTCTAAATTTGGTCACTAATCTTGTAAAACCTATATACCTATACAAGTTAAATTATACAATGCACTTTTATAAATTTGTTCACATCAATTATATTTATAAATATAATTATTGTATTTACAGTGTTTCAGAGAAACCTAAAAATATATTATCACAATAATAACTACTCTGAAACAAATACATCGAATGGATACCTTAACCAATTTTAGATTCAATACTTTATATAGTTCAAAAAATGCCTCATCTATTACTTTGAAATTATTAAGACATTTGAAATTAAACATGTAAAATAGTATTAATAGTATTTTGTGTAATAGTATTCTAACAAAAATTTTTATTTGAGGAACATAAAAAAACCCAAAATGGTCACTATATATAGGTACTGCTATTATCAAATTAAAAATAATTATAAGAACAAAATAAGGGTGTAATTAATTAAAAATATAAATTGGGTTTCTCTGAAACATGTTGACTTATTATACCTAGGGTAATAGTTATGGATATAAATAAAATGAGCACTGGCTAAAATGTGCTGCATATTATAAGGATATACAATATTAATACATACTTATAATAAATATATTTTAAAATACTTATATATTTAATTTTATAATTAAGTTATATCACAATACATAAATTAATTAATTAAATTTATATTAACAATAAATTACAACGATACTAATAAATTAGATAATTAAAAAAATTTAATTCCCATTAATTAAGTATAAATATTTTTAAAAAAACACCCTCAAAATATATTTGAGCTCAAACTCCTAAAAATATAATATGTAGGTGCTCTTTCTTCATGTGAATGAACTTGTATGTTGTCAAAAAGAAATTAAAATCAAATTTTATAACGTTTTGGTAGTAAAAGCTATATGCCTATACAAACCAGTTAACGGTAAATTGTACTTACGGTAGAATTTAACAACAAACATACCTATAGATAATAATATATTACGTATACATTTATTATAAATTATAATAAATTAATAGACATAAACAGTGATAAACTATAACACGAAACAAACGTCCGATAGATATTTTAAAAATATTTAATTAAATTGTTATTTTAATATTATGAAATTCGTATGTGATTTTTAATTTCAATTAAATTCATATTTTTCCACCGGAACATTTACCATACTTGCTTAAAATTTCAAATTGACTGTTAAAACATGATTTAAATAGAAATTAATAAATTTAACCAATGATAAAATTAACAACCACTATTTGAACAATAAAATATTATGGAAATTATAAACACGAATAAAAGATTTAATTAAATGTTTAGTTGCAATAATAATTAATATTTTTGGCTTCAGTTGCAATATTGTTTGCCGATTGATTGGACTATATTATTTTTTGATAATTTATTTGTATTCACTTAGTGTTATTCAAAATAAAGGTTTCAACATTTTGTCTTTGATTTTGTCTAATATTAATATCTATAAAATTTAAATTAGTATTCACTTAGTAAAAACCATTTCATCGTGTATAACTTTTAAGTATTATGATGTTTGAAATAAAAGGAACATTGTGAGTCGTAACAATATTGTGTCCTTCGTGTAGCAAAATCAATTCGTGAAGGTCTCTGCTGAGTATTACACTGATGTCTGATGGACAATTCAATAGCTTAAAGACGAGCGTGCTTCCACGTGTATAAGAATAATGAGACATACATCTAGTGAAAACAACTATAACAAGTATACAATGTGAGACATGTCAATCAATACCTATCTAAAAAAGATGTTCTATTAAATTGCGTCCGTTGACGTAATAGTCTACAGAGATCTATAATACGGCTGTGTTCGCTGTAAATAAAACATCTCTCCTATTAGCAATAAACGTATACGAACAAAATTAGAAACTATTCACACTGATCGATGACACTTAAACTGACCATCCCGCATGATGTTCTTTTGTTGCAAGTCGTGCGAAAAAAAACATGCTATGAGTACTGTATAAAACCATTAGGAACAAAAAAAAATTGTCTAAAAACTGTGGTCGTATAACCGACCAACTTGATAATGATATTTTGGATGGAAATGTCGAGTGTTGCGTTTGTCTTGTCCGTTAAAATTGCAATATTTGATTGATCCAGTCTTTGAACTTTGAAATTCTTGTGTATACACCGGGTTGATTTGGTTCAGCGCATCCAATGCCCCACGATATGATACCAGCTAGTAGCCATCTCTTGTCTGGTCTTTGAATTACCATAGGTCCACCGGAATCACCCTAAGCACGGAAAATTATTTTAAATTTATATAAATTAATTTTAATATATTTTTAACCGGTAAACCATTCAAACAATAAGTTGGTATAATACTCACTTCACACGAATCGAAACCTCCTTTTTTCCAACCAGCGCAGATAAATATATCTGGTATGTGTTCAATGTATCCAGCTGCACGGTACATGGTTTCACAAACAGAATTGTTGATCACAGGAACAGTTACTTCTTGTAGAACACTAGGTAGTGGTCCATCTATAAATAGAAATGGATTTTATTTTATAACACTTCGTTAATTCTTTTAAAATATGTTCACTTTATGGTCAATAAAAAACAAATATATAGTATACTATTTTTATATATATTTTTGTATAATATTACATTTATGCATTCAGTATATTAGGAAGGTACAGTAAAAATAGTAAAATAAACTCAATTGAGTAATGTCATACATTAATAAATTGTTTACAATACTGAGTCCCTTAAGTTTGTATCATATTATTCTTAAAATGTTTACCTTCATATAGTCTCCCCCATCCGGTGACGTAGGCAGACGATCCAACAAAATTTGAATCGTCCTCAGGAACGCAAACAGGTATGATATTAGGTTGAAACTTTACAGGTTCGTAGAATCGCAAAAGTGCCAAGTCATATTCAAAAGTTCTGGGATCGAACTGTGGATGTGATGCGACTATTTGTATTCTTCGTTCTTCGTAACCGTAAGGTTCTTCTTCTACTGATAAATCATGTTCACCGAGTCTGAGGAGTAAGTCACTCGGAGGAACGCTAAAATGATTAGAGATGATTCGATTCAATCAGTATAATTGTAAGAATACACGTAGTAAAAAGCATAAAAGATTAAAGCTTTTTATATTGTATTTACTTTTCAACACAATGCGCAGCAGTTACAGCCCAGTTTTCGTTAAATAATGCGGCTCCACATTTGTGTAAGTAAGTAGACGTCCTCCACTGTCTTAATGAAATCTTAAATTTAAAATAATTAATTTTATTAGTTATTTTATTGAAATTGTATACCAAACTTTTAAATGTACTTACCTGCCACGGCCATTTGCCAAAAGAAACTTTTTCACCTCCTACTATTCTAGCCGTTGGGAAAAGTCGTCTTCCACAAACTTTTTTTATGAAAACAATATTATTATCAATTTATTTTATTCATTGTATCAATTAAATTATTGAATTACCATCTTTATAGTTAGACATATTGAGAGGAGCATTTCCTGCTTCGACGGAATCCGTTGATGTCGACGACGTGAGCATTGACAATGTACTTGAAGGATTTTGCGTGCTAGTGTAGGTAGTTTCAGCATTGTTATTTATAACAACGATGTCATTGTCCGACGGACTAGGGAGGGTCGTCGGCTTGGACATTGTCATCGTCGACGAGTATGCACCAGAGCTGCTCTCTTTCGTCGGTGCGCTGACAGTGTTGGGTTCATGTGTCTCTACTGGAAGTTTGACCCAAGAAGGAAGTGTCGAACCGTCGATGACCGATGGTTTGTGCGTCACTAACATAGGAATAAAATAGTATTAAATATTAATATTACAAATTATTGTCGATCCTTAGTTGGTGAGTTTAAAATAGAAAACTTACTGCTCGGTGGCGGTGGTTTCGTGTTTTCAGCCGGTACAGCGGGGACTTTATCAAGTGTGGTCCAAGTGACTAGAGTCGGTGATGTAGACGTGACCGTGGTCATGCTGCCGTAACTTGGAGTCTGATTCTGACCATTAGAAGTGGCTGCGGTGAAGTTTGTGATGATTTCGGTGACGTTTTCAACTGTGGAGCGGGTCGCGTACGTGGATCCAGTCGCGTAAGTGGTTCCAGCCGAGTACGTAGATCCAGTCGAGGATTCGACAGTGGACCCGGTGACATCTGGTTTGCCGGTGGTAGGTTTCGGTTTGGTCGTCGTCGCGGCGGGCTTGGCTATGGTCTGTGGTTTGACTTTTTGCATGGCCGCGGTCGTGGACATGGTCGTTGTGGACGGGGCCGCGGATGCGATCGTCGATTTGTAGGTGGTGCTCGACGGTTTGACAACGGGTTTGGTGGTGGAGAACGTGGCCGTTACGGTGGAGTTGTGTTGTGGGCTGGGACGCATCGATGTCATAGTGGTGTACGATTGACCGGTCGTGGAGGGCTTCGCAGTTGGTTCGTACGATGAGCCGACCGTTGAGCTAGGCACGCTGAACTGGACCGTTGGTCTTGCGGTCTGTGGCTTTGGTTTTTGGACGGCAGCCGTGGTGACAGTGGCTGTGGCCGTTGAGGTGGTTGCCTGGTCTCTGATCGGTGGCGGTCTGAACGAGGTCGGCTTGACCATAGGCTTGGCCGTTGAGAAAGTAGTTGACGGCATTGGCTTCGTCGATTGTGATATCGTAGTCGAGTACGAAGACGATATCGAACCGGTCGGTGGCGAACTGCTGCTGATGCTGCTGCTGCTGCTGCTTGCGTAGGTCGGCTTCGTGTTGCTTGAAACGGATATCTCTGTGTATTGGGTGCGCGACGTGGACGTTGACGTGGTGGTGGACGGAGTGGACGACACTGTGAACTGACCAGTGGGCTTGTACGACTGCGGAGTGGACGGCGGGTAACCTGTTGCCGCTGCATACGAGCTCGGCCTCAGCGTGCTGTACCTATCGGCGGTGGTGCCTGCAGTCGTCTGCTGCTGATGCAGTTGCGCGCCCGTTTTTGTATCGGTTGTCGCGGACGGACCGGCAACGTCATTGTTATCCACGTTGTTCAGGTAATTGTCCGGTTCGTTGGCTGCATCGATGTCCGTGATCAACTGGGTCTTGCAGCAGCTTCCGAAGTAGAATCGATCGATGCAGGTGCCCAAGTGGGTGCCATTAGCTTTGGCGCACGAGTAAGCAAACATGCACACGCCCGTCTCTCCGGATCTCCGGCTGACGCAAGGCAGTTGTCTGATATTGCGCCCAAAATCTGCAACTTATTATAATTCGTTATAGTATTATAATAAGATAGTACAAAAGCAATACTGAATAGTTTCGGTATAAAAAATTATGTGTTGTTTAAAATTTTAAATCTAAAACATCAAATTAAAAAAGTGGCAATTATAGGTACCACTCTGCCGTACAGCAGATTTCGAGTCATTAACTCGTCATTAAATTGGTCATTGTAACGGTATAGGCTTCAGTAAGTCTATAGTAGCTACAGGAAGAAGTCTATAGGGCGGCTGATTAGGAACGGCCTTACCAGACCTTGACTCAGCGCCTATTATTATTAGGTACATCTGTTTATATTAATTGTTGTAGTGAATTTTTGGTATATTATGAACAACTTATGATTAAACATGGTTTCAAATTTCAAGCCATTTTACCTAAAAAATTAATATTTAAAATACCTATTAATTGGCACGAAATGAGACAAACTAATTTGTAAATGTTTTTCTTCTCCGAAATGCTAATATGTATTTTTGTTTTATGCCCAGTAGATACTACAGTTAACCATTTTGAGTTACAACAAAAAAACCAAAGTGATTTTGTCAAAAACTGGTTTTCCATAACAATTTCCATTTTTCCTTAATATTTTTTTTTTGGTTTCTAATGGTTATTTTGTAAAGTAGGTACTGGGAATTTTTACCCCAAAATACCAACTTTATCCAATTTTCTACCAGAAAACACTAATAAAGTTGAAAATTCAAACATTTTTTCTATTATAAGTATTGACTAATGACCAAACACTCAGAGTTCAAACACGGATAAAAAAACCACACATCTTTGTAAAATGAATTAATTCATCACTCCACTTAGAATCTAAAACTATTAAAATAATAGTTATTAGTTATAATAAAATACGATAAAGTATCTTATAACCATAATAGAAAACAAATAGTACTATAAATGTAGATAATAAAACAGCTATACTATATTAAAAACAATGGGTCCTCTTTTACTATTAACATAATGCGTATCAGGATTCAGGGGTATCTGTCTATCTGTCTATCATCAATGTCATAACTCATAATGTTGTACCGTACTTTTGTAAGTTCACGGCCATCTTTTTATACAGCCATATAGGTACTGTATGATTTTTTTAAAGAAAGAAATTTAATGTATTATTTATATTATTATGTGTATTGACAAATAGTCTAAGACGACACAACTAAAAAATATCGAAGGATCTACTGAATTTATTAATTACAAGTTGTATTGAAAAATATATCTAAATAGAATAAATACAAGTCATATAAATATGTATCATAGTTACTGCCCATCCCCGACGATAATAGGTAGGTATACCTATAATAAATTAAAACTAATATAATGTATATAGGTGTAGTGTGTCCATCCAACATATATATATAGGAATATATCATCACGATATAGTATTTATATTTATCAAAGAAGAGCGATTATTACATTTACGATGTCAATAATAATTATTTATGACGTGGAGTTCATCATAAATTCTATATTGCGTTCAATTTATACCAGCTATGACAAATTATTTTTAATTGCGCTATAACTGGTTCCGTCTTGTGAATAAATGCTGGTTAGACTGGTCAAGTTATATAAACATGTGGGAATTTTAACTTCATGAACTTATGTATGCTGTGTGAATTCTATATTAAATAAAAATGACTGAGTAGTAAAATTACTAAATAATGAGAAGGTTGAAGAAACAGTGCATGTGACTTGCGTGTAATAGTTTTATATTGATCTTAATAAATCGATAAAAAGTGAAGAAAAATCTTTATAATTCAAAACGTATGAAATGTACTAACGATAATATTATTTTTTTCATACACATTACACATGGTTTTGGATTTAAAAATGTAACTATTGATTTAGTAGGTACTTACTAAATTGGTAGGTTAGGTATAAGTACTAAACATTAAACATAAAAATTAACAAGTTTCAACTAACAACTATAAGCACATTTATATAACAATTTAATTTTAAAAATATAATTTAATTACAATTTATACTGTTATAGCTTTATAGGTACCAACTATTATATGTATATACAGTACCTACCTACCTACTCTATAAAATTAATGTTCAAATTCTAATAGCTCAATAAAAGCTTAAAATCTAGTAAATTTTACTAAAAATTGTGGTGTCAATAAAATACTTAAGTAAACCTTACATTTTATACATACAAAAAAAAATTGATACACATTTTATCTTTAAGTTACTAAGTACAATTAGATAAATGGTTTGATACATGGCATATAAATTGATGAACATTCTATAACTATTCCAGCTTGTTACAATATTGTACTAGAGTTGGGCCAATATTAGAACCGATAGGTACTCGACATCAGCCGATATTGGTGGTATCGGGTTTATAGGTATGGCCGATACCAAAAAAAAACCGTATCAATCAGCATAATATTATATTAATATCACAAATGTATAGACAGTGTTGGGTAAATTACTTTTAAAAAGTAATGAAATTACGTTACTCGTTACTTTAATATTTTAATTAAATTACATTTGCGTTACCTAAAACTATCATTATCACGTTACTTTACCTTACATTAAAACTATTATTTTAATAACTTGGAAAATGTGCGTTACTTCGTAGAAATTACTTTCCAAAGAGTTTTGTTACAATTGCATTAGTTTAAGTAAAATGTAATGAATTTACTGCTGCGTTACTGAAAAAGTAATTGCGTTACAGTAATTTGTAATTTGCGTTACGTTACTACCCAACACTGTGAATGGATTTGTTGATAAGGCTGATGGCAGTACTAAAACTGATATAGGTTATCTTTTGATATTGGTTTATGCCAAAATGTTGTTTTTATAATTTATCGGTTATCGGATTTTTATTGGTAGCATATGATATATTAAAGTATCTGGTATCGTTAAAATGTGGTATCGGCCCATCCCCAATTATACATAGTTGTAGCTTGTAGCCAAAGCTAGCTGGAACACAACTATCGATCACATCATTTGGATTGATTTAAATTTGTCTATGTACACTCAGAAAAGCTAGTAAGACCTTTACGGCATACTTCAATAAACTTGGTCTGGCGAGTTTCGTACCTATATATTTTTTTAATCTTTTTATAGTAGAAAATGGGCGTTCTGGTGTTGAAGTCAAAACTGGTAATGTAGCTAATAGTTTCAAAAGAAAAGTTTTATTTAGAAAATATTCAGAATTACATTTAATATATACATCAATGGCAGTGTTGGTAATAACGTAAATTACATACATTATTACAAATTACTGTAATGCAATTACTTTTTCAGTAACGCAGCAGTAATTTCATTACATTTTACTTAAACTAACGTAATAGTAACAAAATTACTTTTGAGAAGTAATTTTTATGAAGTAACGCACTAACGCATTATTTTCCAAGTTATTAAAATAATAGTTTTGAATGTATTACAGGTATATTATATCCCAGAAAAATTAAAAATCAATTACATTTATTTTTGATTCCGATAATAGTTATTATAGTAAATTCGTACATAATACTAAAATAGGTCTATGATTGTAAAATATATACATAATAAATGAATCATATGAATTGAATATGTTTAAAAAAAAATTATAAAAAAAAGTAACGTTATTTGTAACTCACTACTTTATTAATGAAAAGGTAATGTAACGTGATAAAAATATTTGAAGTAACCGTAACTGCATTACTTTTTAAAAGTAATTTACCCAACACTGTACAATGGCCAAATTCAAGTAAAAAGTAAAAATGGCCATACGGGTACCTCGTTACCCGTAGATAAAATATCGTTAGCAACATATTTATTATATTATGCATAGAAAATATGACAAGAAAATTCGTATTCCCACGATTAACAATGGTATAATAGGTATAACAAACATAACATACAGTTAAGTATCACATTGTTAGGGAAACATGGTAAATTATTATAATTCATTTAGTTTAATAAATTTAATTCATTAACTATATAAGAAAAGTTTCCGGGGGCAGGACCACAAACCCCCCTCAAATATGACCTTACATGTAGGCTGTAGCTATTGATATAATTACTAATTAGTAATTAATAATAATCACCTGTTAATGTTATATTCAAACCTATAAAGCCAACATTTTACAGTTCAAGTGCACAATCCTAGATAATATTCGTAGTGGTTAGAAGTAAAGGTACCTATTTTAGTTTTAATAAGAAATTAATTTACATAACCAGAAACTTGTTACTGCTGTATGATAGATTCCAAGTGAACCATTTCACTATAATAAATACAAGTGTCTGGGTGTTAATTTATAATCTATGTATATTTTTTAACTTCTTATGTTAAATATGGATTATATGGATAATTTACCTATTACCTATGGGCTATGAAATATATGAACTATTTGTTTTTATATAGTCGATATGAAATATGCGATAGGTACCTACTCCATTTTCGTCCATGCGGGAAACATGAAATGCATGTAAAAGATTGGTAGGTACTTACCAATTAACTATAGTTAACTATAGTAGCTTGCTTTACAATGCTATATAAAACATTAATGTTTTGTGATAATCCGAAACCCACATTTACAGTTTTAATATATAATACAATGATAGGGTGTATTGTATAGGTAGATAAGAAATTACTAATTAGTGTTGTTAGTTAGTTGTATAATCAAGTAATATTATTAACTAATGGTTTAATATATTATATTATATTATTTAGTTACCATTTTCAATATGGGATAACATTAGATAATTCGTTGAAAAATAATACATTTTATCTAAAGTCTATACATCATATACATGTTTACAGTTGTCTACCTAATGCTAAATTATAACAACGATTAATCTATCAGACATCTATCGACAGTTTTAAAATGTTAGCAGATAGCGAGGTAGTTAGGTACCCACTGCTTTCGGTCTATTGCTCATCTGTCAGCGAGTCTCTCAGACCTCGAAAAGAATGCTGCTTCTCTTATCTTGATTGAGCCACACGTGTACAAATATTGGGTGTGTACTTTATTATTATTTTATATTATTTCGAAATCTATACATACATAAAAGACAAAAAATGTTTGTGACTGAATGACTGTGTTCTTTATACATTCATAAATCATTCATCCAATTGCGATGGAATTTGGTACAGGGATAGATTAGACCTTGGGGAATAAGATAGGCTACATTTTGTCGCGAAGAAGGTAAATGATATGGACCTATCATGGACCCCCCGGGGATGTTCTCAAACAGAGATTTTGAAATATACGATGGAAATAATTGCTGCTTATAAATGGTTGCTATTTGTTCTAATAATAATAGTTATTATTATCAATGCTATAAGTCTGTGTATTTTAGTACAGAATATATTGAGTTCAAATCACGATTTCGGTGGACCAAATTTTTGATACTTTGGAGTTAAATTATACACTTACGTGCGCACCACGCGGTGTCCGCGATAAACCGCAGGTAGGTTGCCTTCCTCATAATATGCTGCTCGCATAATCACAAAAACCTAGCAATTACAACTCATTGCCGTGTCATAAGAAATATACCAATATCGTGTAAAATGTTTCTAAAACCCTCACACATATTACAACATACGTAATGATCGAGTCAGTTGTTGAGTTGTTAAAAAAATATTCTTATAAACGTTTTTATGCAGTAAATATACCTACAGATACAAATATAACCTGTAGTACCTATATGTATATTTTATAAAAATGATTTTCCAACTTGTGGTTTTTTAATTTTTAATGACGATTTATGTATTTTATATTACATAACATTAGTAGAATACTACTCTAAAAACTATCGCAGTTAAATAAATCACCCTGTATACAGCGCATCATAGGTACACATAAATATACGTGTATATGTATTATGTATAATATATACATAATACATATATAGGTGTAGACAATGGGCCACAGTTGTGTCTGGCCAGTTTGTAGGTCAGTAGATTGAGAGTGTATACGCGCGCGCCAGCGTGTGTTTCGATTAACAGTTATCTTGTCTTGTATTGTGCCCACAAAAAACCCGTACCCGTAAAGGTAGTGGAAAAACAAGTTTTTTTTTTTAATGTATGCGCCAATGTTCAGCTTGCATTGTGCACATAGTTGTATGTTGAACGTGATTTTATTTTGCCTCCGAGAAAAATAAAAACGCAAGACGATTGTCGTTCTACTTAGGTGTTCGATTGTCACTGCAGCTGATATACATTAAAGTTAAAAATATTAACACACCTATCCATCACCATGATGGTCCATCGATAATTATATATTAAAATTATAAGTACTCATCGTTGCATCCTTCGCATTCGGGATTTTTTGTTCGTAATTTATTCGTTATTTTCCGTTCCATTTTTATATAGGACGGCGGTGATTTTCAAGGAAAATGAATCTATAAGCAGTACTTACCCAACCCTAGTCCACTAGCATAATAGACACGCTATCATCTGAGTACGAATATTATAAAGTCAACATTTTCCCTCAACTGATAAATCGAACGGGTAAGAAATTAAAACATGATCAAACGCAACGACTTTACAAAATAATGTTTAGGTATAATATATAATTATTATGAGTTAATTTAATGAAAACAGTAAAAACAAACATTCCCATTGGCTAAAATGTGCAAAAAAATATGTCTTCTGGGGCTAATATTATATTATAGATAAGTACAGGCTGGGCCACGGGAATAGGGACAAAAATAGACAGGATTTTTCAACGTTGAATGAGAGTAAGAAGGTCTAGATAAGCTCATTCGATCCGTCAGATAATTCCATATCACTATGGCGCTGTGGAGTGTAGTTCACCGAGTGTTTGCGTACGACGCGTTTGTGAAAAACAATGAATCGGTAGTTAAGGTGCAGCGCGCATTCAGACTTCACCTTACTACCGATTCATTATTTTCCACAAACGCGTCGTACGCGAACACACGGTAAACGACACTCCACTGGTCCATAGTGACAACGAAACGGAATTATCTGACGGATCAAATGAGCTAAGCTAGACCTTCCTACTCACATTCAACGTTGAGAAAAACCCGTCTATTTTTGTCCCTATTACATTTACTATGGTCCATGGCCCACCCTGTACACGTTGAAAAGTATCTATAGGCGATATTTGAGAAGAGTAGGTACATAGCTACATTTATTATAACAGAAATGACTCATTCCTAACTGTAAATATAGTTTGTTCATACATCCTTAAGACTATAATTCACTTCATTATCATACGAGTTTAACTAAAGAAAGTGTCATCAGGACATCAGTCATAGCTTTCTTGAAAAGTCACGGAGTTATATTATTATACTCGGATGTCATCAAAAACGATCGTGACCTTACAGTTTTTCCAACCGGGTATACAAAGATACAATGAATTTGATTTCTAATATCGTGAATGTTGAACAATGATGCAATAGTATAATAAGTAATAGCCTTCTCCAAATTATATATTTATTCGAACTTACAGATACTCAGTGTAGAAGTGTAACTGTGGATGATACGAGTTTTTTTTTATTAAATATTGTTACCTAGTAATTAGTTGTTATTAATAAATGTGGATGGTTTTTACAAAGAAGTTATTTTATAAATAACTAGCCCTTCTGTCTAGTAAATGTTTAATTCTAAATGGTTCTAGGTTGAAGAAAGTCAAATTAAATATGATTTTAGGATTGAATGAAGGTGCTGATATAAAAACATTATTACATACAAACTTACTGAAATATTAAGTAACTAATAAGAAATAAAACAAGATTACAAGCATTAAATTTTTTATTCTTAACCTTATGGAAAAGTGTAAATTGTATAGGTAATCGTAAAAAAATAGTAAATATTACCTATATTATGCATTTTGAAACAAATAACAATGTTACTACAATTAGTTAGGTATAATACTGTACTTTATGTTGAAAAAACAGTTTTCAAGTTTATAATTAATTTTTATTGTTGCAATGACTGAGCAAATAAGTATCAGTCCTTTACTAGTTTGAAAATATTTTTTAAATATTATTTATTCCAAATTTCAATAGACTAAAATTATGCACACGCATATTTCCTTACATAGGTACCTGAAGTACCTACCTAATAGTTTATATGTATATATTAACGGTTTCAAATGGTATAAGCAGAATAAAACATATAATTATTATAACATTGTTAGTATACTATAGTACCTGTAGAAGATTTTGACCAAGGTTAATAACCTTACGTCTGATGATCCAATTGCAGCGCAATTTTAAAACTCGAATATCAGTATAATATTATAATATTATGTCTTAATAATATGTTATTTGATTTTTGTAAGTAAATTAAAATTAAGTTATGATTGCTTTGTTATTATTTATTTTCTCTGTACGATATGTCGATATTTAACTTTTTACGGCATAAAGTCTAACAGCACTATAACAGGTACCTACCTATATAATATTGTTTTTAATCAAAAATGTGTGATACTGTGATGTTATAGTTTTCAGAAATGTGTAGTACCAGCTATTTGAATTTTTAACAATTAAAATGTACCTTTATCATAAATTATAATATACAATTACCCGTATACACTATACAGTGTATTATAATTGTGTTGGTATATATACATTACACACGTAAGTATATATTATAATAAATAAATTATTTAGATAAAATAGTCATTGCAACTTGGGCTATTACCTGTAAGAGTAGTCGGTGTATCCCACGACGGATACGATTTCACTAAACTCTGGCTGATGATCAATCCAACTATGGATATCTTAAGTAATAATGTGGTATAGTGCGAAGACTTCATTGCTGAACAAATGCCATGTCTCTTCATTCTAAATATAAAAATAAACTTTTTAATAACATTGTTTTATATTATCAAATATCAATATAGTATAGACACAATAATATTATAATCATTAATATAGAATTATTCCCTATAATATAGTATTGTATTAAGTGCGTTATGAAGTTATATGAATAGTGTTACTCCAATGAAAGACGATATTCAAATATTTGATAATAACAGGGCTGCATTTCTTTCATCGGTGAGTGCCTACAACTGTATGTATTGAATTCAAGATCCCTAGAAGAGTTAATCCAGATTCAACACATACATAATAATATATACCTATTAGTTTTTATTGTTCTTTAAACAACGAATAAAAGAATGGTATTTGATGAAGAAAACGTTGTTCATGGCTGAGACATATGTCATGAAAATATTGTGAAGATCACAGTGTGCCGTGTTTTAAAAAAGTTGATAACTACTGGCATAAAGACTGTTTGGTATACCTACATTATATATCAATATAATATTATACCTGAAGTAAAACATTAACATCAACCTCATCCACAACAATTTACGGAGACTTTTAACAACGATGTCCTGTATATAGTTTACTAGCTATTGTTTATTATTATTTATTAGTTATACCTACTTAACTTATAACATGTAAGTTGTAAGTACTGTTATTAGAAAACACTTGATAGGCAGGATCTAAATTTATAGGGATGAATTTCACAAAAGCTCAAAGTCGTTTAGGATCTTTGTTTTGACATTGTAATCGTACACACACATAATTTATTATTATACCTATCTAATATTTAATAATAATTTTAATATAATACTATACAATACGCATGTATTCGCATACATATGTGCGTGCTTGAGAGCATATAGGATTAAATTATTTGATCATTGTGCACCATTTTAACTTGTCAAGAGTGAGGCACACCCAGGGACTGGAACCTTTATGATTTTATCGGTTTGGGTATAGGTTTCAGCTCTCAAAAATCCAAAATTTCGGTTCCAGTTCTGGTTTTCTGTTTTCAAAAAAATCAAATTTCGGTTTCGGTTAATACCGGTTTTAACCCTTCATATTTTACTTTTGCTTTTTATTTCATTTTTATAAATTAAGTACTGGATAAAAAATATAATATATTAAGAACCTCTATTTGATGACAGGTATTAATTGCAATTAAGTGTACCTACCTATTTCAGAGTTAAAGTAATATAATAGGTACCATTAACACTAAAACTATAAAAGATATACTATTATATTCAACAATTTACTGACTGTTTATGGAAATTTCACTATACCATTGAATTATAAATATTGTAAGATTTAAAAAAACATTACCAGCATATAATACGTATACAACTTACTCTGAAACACTTATAAACGTACATATTTTCATTATTTTTGAAATTCTATATTAGTTATTGTGAATTGCGAGTTATACGGAATTACAGGACATGTTATAGATTACATGGAAATTATATTTGGATTTTTGAAATTTATTTTATGATTATTCTGTTGTACCTAATAAGTAGTAATAACTAACTTTATTATATTATTATACTTTCTACTATAGATAAAATATCTATTGGATTTTGGAACCGAAAAAAACCAAAATAACCTCTACATCAAAATATAGGTTTCGGTTTCACTTTAGGTTCCTAACAAAATGTATTTAAGGGTTTCGGTCGGTTTTCGGTACCAAGATTTTCAAAACGTTTCAGTCCAAAATGGTCAATTTCGGTACAGTTCCATTCCCTGGGTACGCACACCTCCTTGTATAATGTATACCTAAATTATCTACTTAATTTTATTGATGCATCCATAATATTATATATTATTAGCTTATACCTACATAGGCAGGTAGTATAGGTAGGTACTTAAGTCCCACTTATTATATTATGCGATTGTATCTAAGCGAGAATTATTTATAGCACTACACACACAATATACTACTGAAATATAAAAATGTAAAATGTAACAAAACAATGGTACAAACATTGGTATATTTTTTTATCTATTCACATAACTTTTTTCTACCAAGTATTTTCATTTAAATTACGAAATTTGTGAAAACAAATTAGTAGAAAAGCATCAAAACTGGCAAAATAGCACTAAAAATCTAAAATGCTTATAAATTATAATATGAAATATAAAATTTTATACTTGAAATCCTTAATATACCTACAAAACAAATTTATTTCTTTCACTTCTGCTATTTTATCTGTATTCTATAATTATTATAAGTAAATTCTTTAGAATCTAAGCCCTGAATTTTAAACATATAGATAAGTACCTATTATAAATTGTATAATTTAAGCGATTCGAGAGCGACAAATGAAAAAATATCTATATTAGCGTCGTATATCAAGTGTGCCTATAAATTTTAACGTAACTATAAAGGCGAAGATTAGTAAAAACAAAGGTATATTATTCAAACCTCAAGTCCCTTTAAATACGAATAGTCACCAAGACAAACTAGTTTCCATAGGGGCCCGCTTTCAAACTTATCAAACTAAAAACTTACTGTGGTCTGTGATCCAAAACACTTTAAATGCCTTTTTTCACCCATTACCAAATATACGATTTTTTTAAATGTATTATATTTATCTTTATTTATTTACAAAATAACTATTGTAATGTATCTAGAAGGACCTCACGTGCAAGTTAAAGTACAATTTATTTTTAATATTTTACAATTGCAAAAATTAGCAATAACCATTAAACAAGATAATATTATTTATTAATTATTTGGGTAGGTATCCATTTCTATTTTAATACTTAATATTTTTTTAGTATGATTATTTTAATGTGTAAAATTAGTTTTTTAATATTTGGAGTGAAGTTAGGTCAAGTGCATTTATTAAAGTTATGGAATGACAGGTGTAACCTAAAAATTCAATAAAAATACTATATATATTTATTGATTGATACTTACAACCAATATTTTTTTTCCGTGTTATTTTTAAAGTCGTTATGATGTTCACCAGTTAACCGACAACTAAAGTAGAAATTATTTTGTATGTATTTGTATGTTTTCATGACTTCCATGTAGTATTGAATTTTGTATTGATTAATGATTATTGTATAAAACCGTAAAAACTATAATTTATAAATATAAATAAAAAATAATCTGAAATAAATATAAATAAAATATAATCTGTCTTAGAAGCTTGTGCCTCCCGGGATGCAAATTTTTAGTCTGGACCGAGTATATAATATATTATGCATATATATATGTGCTAGTATCCTCTGAGTAGGTACTCCTAATATTTCAGCATCTAAATTAAAATTGCTCGTGAGTAATCACTAATCAACAATATAGTTTTTTGCGCACATAAACGTAGGTAAATGCCATGCTTTTAAAACAATATAATATCACAATTCACAATGACGTTTTATTCGTAAATACAGATGCATGTATTTTCTCGCATTAATTAAGGTGGATAACAGAGCACCCACTGTGTCTACTGTCTTCACTCAATATGAATAATAGATAGTTATATTATTACTTATTATAGTCATTGATTCATGCAGAGTAGGTAACCTAAAGCAATATATAATATAATACATAGCCACATAGGTATACCTAATATTATAAATCATAGAATATTTGTTACATATCTATAGGTAGTGCAGTTATTATACTATCTATACTATACAATTATCCAAATAAGTTATATGTCATCCAATATAATATATTAATACAAAAATATTGCTATATATTGTTTTATATTATATATATATACAGATAACATTATCATATGAATGGCGTTTAATGTTTTGGAATATGGGACAAAGTAGATTCGAAGACAAAAAACGTTGACGTAAGTACCTACCTACAAATCAGCTTTTGGTTTCATTAAAACACATTAAAAATTAAATTACCTTCTCAAATTATTGGATTCGTGTTTGAAATGTGATATAGGTAAATTTATTATACCTATATTTACTCAAGAAAGACTCAAGTATGCAATTATAGTGTATAGAATTGTATTATGACGGAAAATACAAATTAACTGAGGGTGAAGTGTCACTATATTCACACCATAATAATTGGCTTGGTTAAAAGTGTGGAAATATATTATATACAATATATTTTTTAGACGAACCCGGCGATCCATTTCTGAGAATTAAAGCGTCATAGATGCGAAAAAAAATCTAGCGGAAAATCAATTGCATCCTTGATCTTTTTCAATTAGAATTCAAATCATGCGTAAAATGTAAGTCTATATAAAATATAAATCTTTATTCTTCAACAAAGTATTTGAAAATAGAACAGTGTTTTTTTTTCATTCCAACACAATTTACTCTTTTACGATAAAACATTCCTACTTCGGGTTTTGGTTGCACGGTGGTATACTTACGAGTACTTATAACATTATAACAATTATTATACTCGATAAATATATTATTGTGGTACGAATCGATTTAAATAATGCATTTAAAATCTTCCATATTATACATTCGTTAAAATATATTTAACATACCTAATAAATTATACACTCTCTAAATACAGTTGCAATAGAATTTCAATTGTATTTAGTTATTTAGTACCTATAGTACCTACCTATATATTTATAGGTCATAGTAGAATAGAATAATTCTACCGGTATATCTGACACCGAGCTTTTCATTCTCAATTGAAGACATAATCTTTGTAGTTTGTACACAGCGCAATAATGATAATATTTTTAGCACACATTTTTAATAATACAAATTAATTAAAAGGAAGGTACATTATCGATTAATTAAAAAATTTGAGTAACAATATGATAAATTTCTGAAACAGAATAATAACAATAATAGCTTACTAAAAAATAGAAATGTATGTGTCACATGTCGTTGGTATTATAGGCAACATGACCCATATGTGTAAAACCCATACTAAGCTACTGAATTTAAATTATGTACGACTTATCACCATGATAGCCGTCACGGTATGGATGATGTCTGTACATAATATAACCCGTTGATCACCATTGCCTACCCGTATATGTCGTCATATTATAATATTATTATAGTGTATTAT